TGTGTCTTGAATTACTTCAGCAAAGCTCACAGCTTTTACCAAATTCTGTAGCTTTCTGTGTACTTCTAAATCTGCTCCTTAGTCGCATCTTTTCGGGCCTGCTACTGCCTCTAGTGGCGTGGGGGTGGTAACACAACTAATATAATTACATTACTAAATCAGAATAAAGTCTTCATTATTTATTTATTATTAATTTTTCATTCTCTTAAGAATGTAGAACTAATTAAATGATTTAAACAAGACCTTAAAGTGGTTCCAGTTTCTCTCGATGGCCAACCTGTTGAAACTGGCAAATTTTAAATACCTTGGGTCGTTCCTGGATAGTCGGCTCAACTTAGCTGAAAACTGACTATCTTTTTAAGAACTGTTTTCAGAGATTCTACCTTTTAAGAAGACTTAGTGATCTTGGGGTGACCGAACTAGACTCTAGTTGTGTCACCCCCATGTCTTGAATTTGGGGGGAAAAAAAATATAAATTTATCACTACAGAAGGGTTCAGTGAATGCGCATATGAAACTGGTGGGTTGGATACCTCAAAAAAGGCTAAGAACCACTGGGTTTAACAGATCCCATTTTTGTTGCTCTTTTGAAAATATACAGTGTTTTGCAAAAGTTAATTTGTAATTATTAAGCGGAAGCAAAAGTTTCGCCGTTTTTCACATTTGGAAATCAGCAACCTTTCCTCTCTTAACCCTACATAGCTGTCTTCCCAAGTCACTAAAGTAAACAAGTGACACCAAAGTCCAAATGCATGCGGCACTTTTAAAATTTTTACAAGAAAATGGTGTATTATCTTCCTTCTAATTACTCATTATGTTATGTTGTTAGTCAACATGTCATGTTTTGGACATCTATTACACAAAACAGTATTAAAATAAGTCAGGGATTGAGATTGTGATCTGACAAATCGTGAAAAAGGGGTGTAAATATATTTGTAGAACACATGACCGACTGCAAGGTTGTATGTTTTATGTTTGCTGTAACCTTTGTTTTCCTCCATTTATTTTATGTGCATCATAGATAATATAATACAAGTATATTTTCAAAAGAAAAAAAAAACATGAATGTAATGTCTAAAAACGTCCACTAGGGGTCGGTATTTAATATTATAGTGACCTACAAGGAACTAAATCCCAAGTTATCCAGCTGATCAGTGTCCTATGTACTGATTTAGAGGTAATGGCACAAATCAAACACTAGGGGGAGCTGTACAGCCACGTCACAGACCTGGTTAACCGCTGTTTGTCTGCACTGCTTCCTGTGGTCTTATCATCCCCTTGTGTGTTTTTAATTTAGCCTGATATGCTCAGATAGGCACAGAGGGACTTCCGCCACCGCTGCCACTTCTCACCTCCTCTGTATTCTCTGTACTCACTGTGTTTGTGCGATTGAAAAGTCTTGGCGTTGTGTGCCGGCTGGAGCTTCAGCTGCAGACGTTCAGGGTCCACATCGGTGAGAGGGCAGCTGTACCTCACTTCTGTCCCTCTGGGGTCAGAACTCACAGCTGGGTTCACGCAACAATCCTCAAACCTTTAAAGGATTGATGTTCGCGTCAGTTCAGAAGCAGAGGAAGGCGGGCGCGTCTTCAGCTTTGAGTTTGACTTACTGTGCTGTCGGGTCGCGTTGACATTTCAGCTGGTAGGTGACGAGATAAGCTAGCTCTCTGCTCACCTCCCAGCTACACGTCACTTCCTTCTCTCCATCCAGTACACAGTCCAAAGAGGGAACCTGCCCGAGGTCTGATATGAAAGGGAAGGAAAACGATAGTTAAACCACACTGCTGGAAAACACCAGACGTGGTTCCCACAACTAAGAAAAGACCCAGAAGATTGAAGTTTGAAAAGAAAGCAAAACTGTTTGTCACTGCATCATTTTACCGGGATTTTATGTAGTAGACCAACAGAAAGTAGTACGTGATGAAATGGGTAGAAAAATGCTCATGTGGTTTGATTTATGTTTAGTCCCTCGATGTCAGTACCGGACCTATGATCTGCTGCAGTTACATCTGTTAGTTTTTAGTGTGCACGTCTAACAGCGTACAGCAGCTCGGAGGTCGAGTCAGAGCTGTTGGACCACATATCAGACTGAAATCCTGCTTTCACACTGAAAATGTGTGCTCTCGAATTATGGCAGAAAAATCCCCCATATTGCAAAGTGACAAAGTGTGAAAAAGCTTAAAAGGTATTTATGGCCCCTCTTTATTTCACTCACCATCTCCAGTTTTCCAGCTCGCCACAGGACTCCATTTGCTCCACCGGCCCACGCCGGCCCTGGCTCTCACTCTGGCTTCGTATCGACGGCCGGGAAGCAGCTTCTGCCTCTCCAGTCTCGCGCTGGTGTCTGCCACAGCCTCAGTCTGAGTAGAGACGTGTGTATTTAATATTAAAAACGAAATTTACTAAGCACCGACGCACTGTCTATGTCATATTATTGTCTATTATGAGTAGGCCGTGGGCACAGGGTTGGCTCCCTTTGAATCTGATTGGTCAGCCTGCCTGGCCACACCCACCAGAACGGCCAATCAGTTTGTTCATATTGTACTTTGTTCAGGCCATGACAGAAATGCTCCTTTTGCTGTTTGTTGTTGACTGTTTCAAGATTATTATAATTTTTTTTTTAAATGGGACATTACAAATTAATTAACATTTACATGAGAGCTAAGTGGCTAATTTCCATTGCTAGTCCAATTGGCAGGCTACTGTGCAACAAAACTCTTCATAAAGCCAGTAATTAAGCAGTTGTTTACAATTTCTAGTAAATAATTTCAGTCATTTTCACTTTAAGTTGATAAATAAGTTAAATAGAGTCAGCATAGTGGTAAAAATAGAATTAAGTTTAAGCTACGCTAAGCTAATCAAGCTAATCATGCGACTAGAAAAAATAGCCTTTGCCCTAAACAACCGCTGTAACAAACAAATCCATGTGTTTTGTTTAGTTAAATAAATAGTTTGGTTATTGAAGTATTGGCCATTTTAGTGTGACAATCTCTACTGTAAAAAACAACTTAAACACTCCCCTGCTGCACAGAACGGTAATGTGGTGACTTGTGTGTGTAGCTTACGGTCCACCCGTCCTCGCCCTGCGTCCTGAAGCTGAGCTGATACGAGAGGTTCTGGTTCAGGGAGGACGATGGAGGATACGGACTGGACCACCTCAGCCGGTAGCTGCCTTCGCTTTCCTCAGACGCAGTCAGACCCCCAGGCGGACGTGCCCTCACTGTGCAACACCACCAAACAACACCACCGTCACTCGAAGGCTTCGTTTTGCTCTACTTAAGCTACTACAGTACATCTAGCTGTTGCTCACGGTGCTGAACAAGATCCAGAGACGAGTGTTTGGAAGACGAGCAGAGGCTTGTTGTCTGGTTGTTCATGAAGAAGACAGCATGGTTGATTCCTATGCCAAGTGTCGAAGTTTTATATCTGCACTGGACAACTCCATCCTTGGTTGTCTTTTCGTCTTTGAAATGCACACAGGGCTCACTGCATAGATACAGACGCCGATCTGTTAGAGTGAACCTCAGCTGTAGAGAAGGTAACTTCTATAAATGTTGCTCTTGTTCAGTCTGCTCTGTTTACCTCCTGCCATTGTTTTCCTTCAGCCAGACCTGCAGAGTCGTGTTTGTCGGCGCCTTCCATTTGCAGTCCACATGGGTCTTGTAGTCATTGTGGCATTGCAAGGACTGCAGCCAAGGCGACACTGCAGAGCGACAAGGAAGAGTCAATTTATTGCTAATAATTCATGACTCAGGAAATGTCTAATTTTGGAATTTTGCAATCCCAAATGCAGAGGCGGCCCTAGCCTGCTTGGCGCCCTGAGCAAACCACCTTTCTGGCACGCAAGATGCCGCCATCGACCAAATGGTTATACGAGGGGATTAAAGAGGCAGGTCAGAATTGTTTTAACCCCTTAACCGTCACCCTGTAAAGGTTTATATCCAGAATTTTATAGTAATTAGCTTTACTTGAGTAGCTTTTTGGTTACAAATAAAAAGTTTTACCATGTTGTTGTACTTTTTTTTTTTTTACTTTTACTTCAGTAATTTGACTATGAAATGTCTTTCTACAGTGAGTAGCTTCACTGAATGAATAACAAACATATTTTAACCAAAACTTAACCAGACACAGACACACGTGAAGTTTTTCTTTAATTTTTGTGAGTTTTATGCTGATAGAAATTGATTTGAAAAATGTTTTTTTTTTGTAATTATGTTACTTATCTGAATTGTTTTGGTTTTGGTCTTCTCCAAATAACTTCATATTTTGGTCCGTCTGATTATGTGATTTAAAAATATAAAATGATTTTGATCAGTTACTCAATATGTGAGTTTCATTTTTACCAAATACTTTTTCACTCTTCCTTGAATAATTTCGTAAATGCCTACTTGTTGCTTTTACATGAGGAGAAATATGGTGAAGTACTGCTACTCTCACTTGAGTACTAAATTTTCTGGGTACTCTACTCACCTCTGCTTATATGTAATTCACTTGTCTTGTAATCATATTTGCCATGACGCAGATAAACTAAATTTAAAATGATTAAGAAAGTCTCACAAATTTCATTCTTTTTGCTGTTTTTAAGTGATTATTATTAATATCTATTTCAGACAGATACTCACTGCCGTTTGAGCTGCTGCTGTCGTGAACGCCACAGCGATCCGGACCAGAGAGGAGAGCCGGGTTCGGGAGAACCAACAACATCAAGACCTGGAGGAGAGCCATCCCTTTCAGGAACCACAGAGCCGCGTTTCTTTTCCTTTTTCTGATCCAGATCAGCGGCGTTTCTTTCACATCGTCAAGACGCTCTTGCCTCAGAGGTGAGGCTGTGTTTTTTTTTGTATGTATATAAATAAATAGGGAGCGTAGATGTGTGACAGACAGAGAGAGAAACAGTCCATTTACTAGAAATAATGTAGAAATGAGTCATGATCACATCACCAGTAGTCTTCCGCTCTGAGTGTATGCTTTTTGTGGGATGTCACCACACATCCGCCTTCCTCTTATCTCGCTCTCTCACATGTTAAGAGTTTAAAAAAAAAGAAAGCATTCGCTCTAGAGAGCACACACACTGGCATGAAAAAAAATAAATAAATACATGGCATTATTTCAAACCTTTACTTTTGCAGGTATTTATAGTTTAACCATCAAATGAGCCAGAAGGGAAAGAACAGAAAACCTCGAGCCACAAGACAAAAACGATCATCTCAGTCATTGTGTTTTTAGAAATTAAACATATTTTAAAAATATTTTTAAAAATAATTGAAAAATAATTTACTTAAAAAGAATTTTAAAATGTTTCAAGAATTACTTTAAAGGGTTTAAAATGATGACATTTTATTATTTTAGTATAAAGAATTAAAATATTTATTTTTGTACAATTATAGTATAACTGCGATTAATGTATTTGCTGAAAAATTTACACATTAAATCAAGTAAACAGAATACATCTGCAGCTTTAATCAGTCATGACAAACAACAAATAATTAAATCAGTTTTCAAATCATCTGTATATGTTTTAACGCGGCTTCCCTAATAAAAACGTCAATCGCTTTAATTTAGCAAAACAGCAAAAAAAACTCTCAACAAACACGGTGAATTCCTGCAAATATATTTTGAAGTTAAAATTATTGAAAGCGTTTCGAAGAAAACAAAAAACACTTTAAATTGTTCAGTTTGAAAAAGGGGAAACGGCGCATAAAGATCAAATAGTTTCAGAGAAGAAGTCACAATATGGCTCTGTAAACGGGGGGTTTTGGAGGGTCTCTCGGCCGTGACCTTTACCCTTTCAGCTGCTGTTTTACAGTAGCAGGTTGGGGGAAATCCCACAAAGAGAATATCAGGAATCCAGTAGAAAAAGTGAAAAGAATAAAAAACTCAATCTGTTGATGTTTACAGTGTTTTCTGACGCGAAACCATCAGGCAGAGATAAATGAAAAGAGGCAGCGATTCGCATAAAAGAGGCAAGAAACTAGTAAAAGAACCCCCACAGAAAACATTTATTAGCGCTAAAGTTATGCCTATATAACGTAGAGGGTTTCATCGTCTAATCCACCCCAATGGAGAAAAAAATTAAGACTTTCACTTATTAATACAAGGTTAAATTGATCACATACGGTAATAATAATCACCTATGATCTGACTGCATGAATACCTGAATATATTTTGTAATATAAAAAAAAACCTCACCCAATTACTTGTTTTCTCCGGGTGAGGAGCTCCTCTCCTTTTGTCCGACGGTCGTCACTCCTTCCTTCTCGTCTGACGGCTCCTTATGAACGCTGACGAGAACTCTGTGGGAGTTTCCTGTGTGACTGCTTCAGTTTCCCCTTTCTGTCCAGACCGACTCTCAGTGTCAGCTTGTCTGTAAGGCACAAATCAGTGGTTTTGTCGAGGAGACGCCTGAGAACCCTAAAAACCTCAGCGCACATCAAGGGAACGCGTCCTGGGATGTTGCTTACTCATTTGTCGGTGCACAAGCATGTAGTAGGTTGCAGATTGCAATCTGCTCGACTTTTAAGATAACCATGAGTGAAAACGAACAACCAGCGACCGCATTTCTTTTGAGATGGCAGCATATGTCCTTCATGTGGCTCACCCCACATGCAACTGAAACTCTGCCAGGATGTGCCACTATATCTTTACACTCGGGAGATATTGCCAGCTACACTAACTCGGCATGTGATCACGCAAAGTTATTTTCCGTTTACAGTGTTTTTCTTACACGAACCACTTCAGATATTTCCAACCTGAGACTCTACGTGCTCGACAGGACGGACCGGAGCGCTGCAGAGCAGCAGGTAGGCGTAATTAACGCGTCTTCAAAGTGTGTTCATTCAGCGCCACGCCCACTCGTTCTCAGGTCGGTTTTACATCTTAAACGCAGCTATTTATTTAAATTGAGTGACTAAAGATCAGAGCTGAAACAATTCTTTTTTTAAAAATGAAATAGGATCTTGAAAATGAAAAATAAAACAGGACTTTCTTTAATTTTACTTTGGCTAAAACGACGATAGCTTATTGAAACAGATTGTGATGGAAACAGGTGAATTTATTGGTACCAAACTTATTTGTTCGGCCACAATTAAGCTTCTTTAATTTTGTATTGTAATGGCATAATCTCACAGCCACCAATTTTTAACTTTAAAACATTTATTCAGCAGGAAAACAAGAATAAACAAGTAGATAAATAAATATTCTTAGGGGGTCACCAAGTCTCCATGGCAACCATGAGACACCGTTTATGCGCAAAGTCCATCTGAAATTATGTCATTAAATGTTTCTTAACCTTATGAATACAGAAACATGCATCTATTCAGGCGTTGCAAATCTTTATTTTACCCAGATTTTCATTTTATACATTTTCTGGAGTGAAAAAGCAGGAAACATCATCATGTAGGAATTTGGGGATTTACTCTTGAAAAAATTCTTTGTAGCTGAAATCTAACATTTTGAACCAAAAAGGCTTAAATCTTTAAGGTTTTCCGCAATTTCCCTGATTGGAAATGAGATCTAGATAGAGCGGATTCCTTTATCTGGCGTGACTCTTTCTAGTCAGCCAAAACTGTTGAGTCAGATTGTTCTGCTTCTGACACTTTTGGTTCTGTTATTGATCGTCTCAGAGCTTAAATAACCGGACAGTCACAGTCATTACCGGCTCACGTTACTCACACATTCACCAGCTAACGACACCTAGAGTGAAATGTGATTTCAATGCTTGCACTCGTTTCGTGCGTTAAGCTGAAAAAGCACCAACAGCATTTGTATTTTAGATGAGTTGAACTCAAACGTTTTCCTTGGATTGTTGCAGCGTTTCAAGCAATCTGCAGAAATATTAATTCCTCAAAGCCAAAATTAGAAACTGCATTGTGACAAAGAGATGTTTCTCAGATCTGCTTTCTCAAACGCGTTAGCCTTTTTTTTGTTTTCTAGAAAACGTCTGCAGTTCTTACTGCGCCTTCCAAGTAATGTTACAATTTAAGCTTTTAAGTTTTAAATCACTTTTCGGATATCTGCAGAGGCTGCAGGAAGTTTTTGTCGCGACTTAGCAAGACCGTTTCACAAAGTGAGAAAAGGTAAAATTATAATTTTTTTTCTTACCAGAAAGTGGTAATAAATAAATCAGGGTGAAAATGCAAAACGAAAAAAGAACATTTGGAAATCATGCAACTGCAGGAACATGCTGCGAAATACTTTAAGTTACTGTGGCGAAACGACACAATCTGAGTTATGTTTCAACAACAACAAAAAAAAAAAAAGTCACAATCCTGGCCTCTAATTGATATTGGCTGTGAACTTGGAACAGCACAGTCAGCTCTTCAACCCTAAAAAAGGTTTAAATTAACTATTTTTAAAGTGACAAAAGACTAGAAAGAATAAACAATGACACATATTACCTGATAGGGTGAAATTATTTTTCAGATGGACGCAACAAAACCGTGACGTTACCCACGTTGCACAACCAAACAGTTTGCGTTTTACTCCTTTCATCTCAATGCAGATGCACTGTGCTAAGTTAGGAGATCCATAGAAGGCAACATTTTTACTTTACAGACACAGAATTGTGTATAATTTACATAAGTTTGGACCCGTATTAAATATAGTTTTGAAACAGTAAATGCATCAACTTCATAAAGATTTTTACTGACTAAGAACTGAATTTGAAATCTGAAATCTTGTTGACTTTATGAGCAGTTCTTTGGTAAAGAGTGAATGTTGACTGGAGGTAGCATTAGCATTAGCTTAAGTTAGCTGATTAGCAAGTAAAAGGTTATCCTAAGTGAACAAGCTGGTTCTTTGTTGTAAATTAAAGAGAATATTATGACGCAGGATCAGATAAGCATTCAGAAAAGTTCAAATAAAGTTGTGGTAAAATTCAAAATGGCGTCTTGTGAAGAATAGCAACGCTGGTGATAAACTCTCCTCCAGCCTGGGTCACAATTCTAACTTCTGTCCCAAAATAATACCTCAGCATTTATATTAAAGAAATTAGCTTTTGCTACTGAGTTAAGTGATTTATGTATGATTTATTTGCTAATTGAAACTTTATTATTTATTTCATTTATTTATTTAATTTATGGTAATTTTCCAGCTATTTCCATAGCCTTTTTTTGTAGTGAAATTTGAAGCTTTCATGCATCGATGTTGTGTTTAAAAATAATTTTTTATTCTTACGTGAATGTCTACCTTCCTGTTGTATTGTTTGGGCTTTAAATGTCTCTCTGCTTCTCTTTTTCCCCAACTTGCATGGTTGCAAATGGACTTTACACATTCATAAACGCTGATGTTCGCAGTGCATATCATTTAAAAACCTGCTTTGAGGAACTTTCATGCAACAAAGATAGAAGCCGATGATTACCTCAAAATTATTATTATTTTAAAAAAAAACGTCAAAACCACAATGAACTTTAAAGATGAAATCATCAGCACTCAAAAAGTATCAAACTCGAGATCGTTTATTGACATCAGCGCTGCAGTTTATTTAAAAAATGAGCTTGACCCTTCATGCGTTTTCTTTTTAGCCCTGACACTTCCTGTCAGCAAATACTTTTCACACCTCTCTGAGAAAAGCTGACGAGCGAAGACACCAGTGCGACCAATTCCTCAATTCTTCTCTCTGTTTTTTTGTTTTTAACTCTTGTTTGTTTTAGCAAAACGACAGCGCTTAGTGAAAGAAAGCTACACGCTAATAAAGGCAACGTGCACGATTAAATTAAAACCACTTTATATACCGTATGAGCCACCCAGTTTTGTAGGTTTTTGTCACTGTAGAACGGCTAAATTTAAGCAGACGTAACTATTGGTGCAGAACAGTCAGTATGAGTGTTTTGCAATGCAGCCTATTGGAGTCCAGGGTTGTTGCTGGGAAGTTGCTTTCTCTAGAGAATCAGAAACAAAAAAAGCCAGTATTTCTAAGAAATGAGGAACTCAACATCTCATGACTTCACGCTCTTAAGAAATATATGAGAAAACACAAAACTCAAGATGTATTCATGTAAAACCACAGAGTGTAGAAAGTAGCACGTATGAATGTGAAACCGGCGTATGAGCGATTCTGATTGCAGATTTGGATTTTGTCCATTTTTTTACGGTCTGGTGGCCTAAAAAATAACATGAGACAGTAAGTGTCCCCATAAAACAATTTTTCAAATTATGTTAAGAGGCTTTATTCTGCTCTCTAATGTCTCTAGTGCAAATTAAAAGAGCTAAACTAATGATGTGGAAGAAGCATAAAGCTTCTGGGTGCCAATCTAAGGCTCAACTCTGCCCCCTAGTGGTCTCAAATCAAATCTGCTACTGTGGAGCATTTTCCCACAGAGCTGATTAGCTCTTAAACAATTAAATCTAATCATATAAATAAATCCAATAATTCTGATATGGACACAGCACAGATCACAAATTCTAGCTGTGCAGTAATTATACCCAAGTATAGTTTTTGCATATATTTGGTTAAAAGGACAAAAATGTAAAAAAAATAAATAAATACTATTTAAGTGGACTCTCTTACTCTAATTTGTTAGGATCAAAGAAAGTTTGCAGAAACTCTGCACAGCCTTCTGATGAATGTACTTTACTTTATTTACTCTTCAAAACATTTACAAGCTCCATGCAGTGCAGTCAAGGTACTTAATATACTTTATTTAAAATAAACATCTAAATAAATAATGAAGCACATGTTGTTGTTTTATTCCTTTATTTAAAAATTTAAATAAGATCTGTTGTTTTTCTCGTTTTCGCTCTTTCGTCGTGTTTATCGGTTTATTGTTTGAACCAGATTCAGATCTGCTGTGTCTTTAGTCAAACAAACTGAACTGAATTTGGTAAAAGTCAATGATGTAGTAGGAGAAACAACCACCAGAACAAAAAAGAAAACAATTTGACCAAACATTTACATGCCCAGCTTAAATCCACTACATGTTGAGGCCTAATGGTGACAAAGGGAAAGTACCATCAGTTTTTTTTTGTTTTTTTTTTTGGATTATTTACATGACACACATGAGTGAATGTGACTGCAGCAAACCCTTATTTCCCTAATAACACAGGAAGAATTACTGCTCACTGTTTGCATACGCAGAAGGCTGAATTCATCCTGGGCTCAAACAGAGCTCTTCATTTGCACAAAGTAATTTCTTCAAATATGTACAGCAAGATGTTGCCTTGTTTGCAGGACATGTGAAAGCAAATGTAAAGCGACAGTCTCATGAGCGGGTTAGAGCCACAGATACATTTATTATCTTTGGTCATTCTGGACAGTTTTTCCCGTCACCGTCGGCCTGCGTTTTGAAAACGGACGGCCATTTTGTTCGAACCAAAGCTTCAACAAACGTCTGGAAGTTGTGGCCAAGGACGGCCTGGACCTCTGAAGGCCCATGATTCTCTTCCAGATATCTTTGTTTTGATATCTTTCATGATATGACACAAGGAAGAAGCTTCTGCCTTCAGACATCCGCAGGTCGGCCTCCAGTTAACTCAGATGTTGTAAATAAGAAGCTTATGAAGCAACAAGTCAGACGTCTGACTGGTTCAAAAACAATCTGATCAAAGAGAAATGATCTGGGTAACTGACCTGAAACAGTAGTTACTTTACTCTCATTTAATTTCAAACATTGAGAAAATTAAGTTTCTTTTGGTCACTAATCACCTCCCAGGCAGTTATAAGCCTGGGAGGTTTTGCTTGTCAGATCATCCTGTTTCCTGCCTGTTTATCTCCTCCAGTTTTCTCTGGTAGTTTCAGTGTCTGACTCAGCATTTGACTTATATTACTTTCAATAAATATTACCTTAAAAATTAGACTTTTGTTCTCCATCTGTTGCAGCACGTATCCTAAAAATATCAAGAACCGCCAGAGAACGTGAACGGGTCGAGTCAAAAGAAAGGATGAAAATAAACACAAAGATACACATTTGCCCACAACAATAATAATCCATGTCGCTATTAGAAACAGATTATGATCGGCAAGATTACACCGGTCTGCTGCTGCTGGTGCTTAACGACGCGGCTTTCGCAACGCACAGTCTGCGTGTGTGGAGAGAAATAATCTGTCAGGCTAATGAGAAGGTAATTTGAGCTAATTGGATCGATGGCTGGCGCATCTGCAGATGTGGGGAAGGACGAACTGCTAATATGTGGAGTATTTGAAGCATCGCAGCGCTTTAAAATGACGTGGTGGAGACGGTGACTATTTCTATTATTTTATCTGTCTTAACTCCAAAACAAAAACACGGTCTGTCGCACATTATCCTGATTCAGTGGATTTCACAGCCATTTAGGAAAGTTGAGCTCAGTTAGATTAGAAGAAAAAAAAAAGTCAACACTCAAATACAAGAGAAAGCCTTGAAGCAATGATAGATATTTGATGCTATTATCATTGACTTCAAACGAGTTTGTTTTATTACCCCTCAACACTGTGGTGCACCCGGTGCCTCTCCTTGGATGTTGCAGCTCTACGGTCAGAGGAAACTCAGCAGCTTATCAAGCAAAATCCTTCAGAGCTGGACCGACGCCCGAGTCGCGTCCCCGTCCCCCTCTCTTGGACAACGTCCATCTATCTCCCAAAATGTCCGTAGCCAGAGTAACCGATCTTTGTGGTGCTGCCTCACATGGATAAAGCGCATTCCTCGAAGCTCTAATATGTTTATACGCTCGGCATGGTTGATTTTTTTTTTTTATTCTTTCTTTTCTGTGTGTAAATGGACTTCCACTGTCTGTAATACATTAAAGCAACCGGGTAAAGACGTTTCCACTTAGCTAATGCGTCCTTGGGTAAATAAATAGTCACCTTGGCAAAACTGAATTCTCACCAGCTGAAGCTAGCTGAGCAAAGTCTCTGCCACAAAATACGGAAAAAACCAGGAAACTGCAATGTGATTTTAGTCTCTAGATAACCGCTTATGGCTGTCGTGTCCTATTAGGATGAGAGTTGAGATGAAGTTGGCACCTTCTCTCAAATCATTTCCAGAGGTGCAAACGGACCGAAAACTCTCAGCGGTTTCTGTGGCTGCAGAGCGACGCCCTGACACGGGTACACACATAATACACACATATTGTGATTAATGCTTTACAAAATGGGCCATCTGGCCTCTGGCTCCAATTAAACTGACTTATAAACTCAACCGACCCAAATGGAGATCAGAAATATTCCATCAATGGAAATGGGGCGCAATATGAAGCACTCTGAAATTCATATTATGAGCACCTAGGCGTTTTTAAAAATAATTATTTGTCCCTGAAATTCATCAAAATAGTTACAGTCAATTTAGCATGAGCTGTGCAGTTCAAGCTTAAGTTTATGACTGAATGAATAAGTGGAAGAAAAGGAGCACCGATGTATGTATGCATCGTATTCATCTGGCAAATATCATCACAAAAAGAACATTATCCTGTTGTCACTGCAGAAACACTAAACCTTACCAAGTATTTTTAGTCTAGGTTCTAGTTCAAACATCTCAGTTCACTTGAAAAGAGACTCACTTGCACATAATTTTTTTTTTTTAGCAAGAAATGGAGGCTTATTTTAAGTAAATAATTCCTTAAAATTGATTTTAAAAAAGTATTGGTTTCATTGGCAGAAAAATTAACTTATGGGGAAAAATGTCTTGTTATGAGTGAAATAATCTTGGAACGGGATAATTTCACTGATAATTTGGGTCTGGGTTTGTTTCTGTTGGCACGTGTCTCTGCTCAGAGGCCAGTTTTTTGCTAATCTATAACCCACAGCTATAAAGTGCTTTTAGGCTCCTGCTGTGTGACACCACACCCTCCATTTAACCTTTTTTTTTTTCCATCTCCTCTGTCCTACAGCCTCCGGTTCATTGTCCTTCATCCCTGAGTTGAAGGCTAAACTGCTAGTCTTCCTCTTGTTGTGTCCAACGCCATCAGCACAAACTCTTCCTCAGGTCGCCGTCTCCTCTGGCTTCCATTTGTCACTCACTCTCCAACAAAGATTGCTCCTCTTCCTTCTCTTCTTCCTTCCTTCCTTCTCCTCACCCTGTTTTCCGCGCCTCCTCTCCGAGCCGCTAACTTATCGCTCCGAAGTTGATTGCAGAATCTGGACTGCGCCGCACCGACTCCAGATTGGATTACGGCGTGATTTAATGGATGGAAGGACATTCCCTGCGCTCTGGGATTGATTGTCTCAAGTGACTGCCGGCATTGCGACGGCTCGACATGAGTTGTAACAGCCTGTTAAAGGTTACAGTCATAATAAAGGGGCGCTCGGCCGGTACCAAGCATTTACTTTCCCATGAATTACGCAGTGATTATGCTTCTGTGAGTGCGTCCCGATGAACTCTCCGCCGCTTTGCCTCTTTTTTACCGTGCCACTCTACTTTTAATCTGCCTCCTTTCCCCATTTAACCTCAAGTACGTTGCTGAGGGTATTCTGTCATTAGCTTCTTGCTCTTTCATCCTCCTCTTCTCTTCTTCATCAGTTCACCTCCCTATCCCACCATCCGCTGGAATCCCTCCTATCCCAACCCAGAACACCCCTGCTCTCTCTCTCTTTAGCTCTCCTCCTACCTCCCTCTTTCTCCCCTTCATCTCACCTCCAGCAAGCCGGAGCACCCCTCCTCCTTCTCTTGGATCGTTCTAGTCCACTTTTTCCCTCTCTCTCTCTCTCTGCATCCTCTTGTCTCTCCTCCTCACCCTTTCCATCTCTTCCTCCCTTGTCCTTCACTCCTCTCCAGCTGCCAGAAGCTCGCAGGCTCGGCGCCCCTCCTCGTCCAACCACTGACGATTCCGAAGCTCTCCGGACAAAGACCTCGCCACAGAAGGTAAGCGTCTCTTCTGAGGAGTTTGCGCGAGTGTCTCGTTGAGTGTGTGTTCACTGTACCTGCTTCAGGACACAGGTGTGGAGATGATGGGGTGTCTGCAGTAGAGAGAGGGAACGGGGGGGAAAAGTGTGGAGAACATGAAGATAGTGATGTGCAAGGAGGAAAGTGAGGGAAAACCTTTTTGATAAAGGCTGTTTTAGTGCAGCATTGACAAAAAAAAAAAATGCAGTATTGGACAATAAGACACGAACACAGAGAAGACAGAAAGGGATTAAGAGCTGGAGAGGATGGGGATGAAACCAGACCAGGAACGTTTTTAAAAGAAAGAAATTTGCTTGCTGATAAATCTTTTCTGCAAGCCTACAAATGCATCGGCGCCTGCCGCCTGCCCCCCTCCTCCTCTTCCTCCTGCTCCTCTCCCGTACGGATCCCATTCACAAACAGGACTAGCCAATAGTCAGTGCTGATTGGTTCCCTGAGCGCTGCGTTAGAGTGTGCATCTGTTAGTGTGTGTGTGAGGAAAAAAAAAGAGAGGTAGATATGAAGGAGGGGGAAAGGACATTACATTCCTGTTCAGGTGAATCTTGGGAGAGAACGGCTGAATGAAGCTGCGGCGTGTGCTCTGGTACATTAACATTATCTATAACGTCGCCGTCCATATGCCACACTGCTGCAGTGATGGCGATGTGGATTTGTGGCTCGCCGACAGAGAGATAAACCCATATCTGAGCCCTTTTAAAAGACATTTATTATTATGTTTGATACTCAATAAACTGAACATTTATCTGACCACCTAGAAGTAACATTAGGTTACAACTAAAGTGCAGGTGATGAATAAATTTAAGGAGGTGAAGGATGAGTAGAAGAAATATTTGATCATATTTAGCTCCCTTTGCAACTAGTCACCTAGTTGGTAAGTACAGTTGACTTGTGTGTAATTTAATGTCAGTGTGAATGCAGAACCTCTGTGTTAGAGAACATTAGTGGAGTTCCAGACATCTTTGAAGGCCGGGTGCTCAAGTGGCAGACATTTAAAGCAGCGTTGAACATCTTTCCATCAATCAAAAATGATCCACATCCAGATCTCTCCAGTTATGGCTGTCCACCTACTAAGCAGAGAGGCAACCTAGAGGCGAATAGTAACTCTGGATGATCCACAGTTCAAGGGACAGAATTTATTCAATGGACACTTTTTGGTTTAGTTCTGTAAGAGTGGCAAGAAGAACGTCATTGTTGAAAGAAAACCATTATAAGTCCAGTTTGGCGTTTGGTTTTAGCACAAACCACGTAGGGAACACAGAGAACCTCTGAAAAATGATGAAATATGCAATGGGGATGAAGCTGATGTCAGGATGCCTGGAGCTAAATGCAGATCTCTCAAACGCTGCATTAAAGCATTGACTTTTTTTATACAGCCACAGGTACAATGGCATAGATCAGGTAAAAGCAAATTCATAAACTGGCCCAGAAAAAAATTCAGACTCTAATCCAGGTGAGGTCTTGAACACTGACCCATCCGTTAAATCTGAGTAAGGCTGTGGTACTCTGTGTAGAACGGGACGAACATTTCAGTCTCTAGATGTACAAACCCAGTAGAGGCAGAAGACATAGCAGCTGAATGAAGCAAAAATTGGTTGAAGTATTGACTCAGGGGGCTAAAGACAAACCATGCTGTTCTGCAAAATCCCATGATGTTTGCCTTTGTAATGTGACAGAATATGGGAAGATTCGATGAATACTCATCATTTTACAAGGAAGCATGTGATCAAATATCAGCAGCAATCAAGTCGGAGTTAATTTTCGCAGGTTTTTATCTTCCAGATACCTTAATCACCTTCAACTAATGCTCTCTTCTCACATTAATTTGAAACAAATGGACACTGAGAATACACTTTATGCTCTATCCCCTTCTCCTTTTTAGCACCTGCAGTTTCTTCTCTCATCACATCGCACATCTCCACAAACTACATCACCACTTTTCCATTAACGATACAAGTCGAGTTTGATGCATGGTTAAATATTTCCACCCGATTTCTTGGGAATTCGCTGATTTCACGAGGATGAAGCTCGGCGAAGTGTGAAATACCCAGGTGTGAAATTATGTTCCTGTGGGAGGAGACCTCGCAATTTCGCTGCAGGGTGTGACTGAGAATATCAAAGTCAAGCAGGCAGACTGAGTAGTTGTGCATGCCTGTGTGTTTAAAGGGTTTTGTTTAGACCTGGCATTAACCTGGAGAAATCTGTAAATGTCCCAGTGGCTAAACCAACTTCCATCTGACCCACTAATTTGAGTCCCTCGCCCTGACTGATGGATTAACACACACACTAACACTCTCTCACCGTAGAGTGCTTTTAAGCAATATCTACAAGCAGTGTCGTTTGCATTAACTTTGATTAGAGACTGAAATGTACCTTACTTGTGGGGGTTTATGGTACAGATGAAAGACAAGTTGGTGGTAGATGATCCTCCATAGTGATCAGTTGTGTTTAAATGGCTGAGAAAAGTGATTTAAAAGTCCAAATAATTGTGATAAACTTTCATCAGTTGCAAAGGCAAATGCTAGTCTGGTGGATGTGACATCTTCATGCTAAATCTGTTTTAAAATGCCTTTATGAACTGGCCTCTCTTTGGGACTCCTTCAACCCTTCATAAATCTCTAAGCACTGCATCAATGTGCAGAGTGTCAGCAGCAGCGTTGAAGTTTAAAATGGATCACGACTTGTGTTAAAATTCTGTCTCCAGCTTCACACCGATTGGGCTTTGTGATTCGGTTACTTGGCTGTTCAGAGTGATAACTCCGCCAGATCTGAGCTGGATGGGTTTTTTAAAGCCAAATTTAGGATATTTGCATGGTCTAGTCAACGTTTGGACTGGAAATGGCATGGTATGTCACCAAACAAGCTGTTCACTCATGACACGATGTGCCTGAATTAACTAATTGTGACATGAAAAGAGGGACAATCCCTTCATAGTGATGTAAAAAAACTGATGGTTGGTTATGACAAATACTTGAAGCCCGTTGTAACTCCTAAAGTCGTCACAACAAGCTCTTAGTTTTAATTAATTTTCACACTGAACCAAGTGATTTAACACCGACTTAAAAAATTCACATCATCACTCAGGTAATGCATTAGGACAGAGTGAACAAGTGTTTATTGGTGTATTACCATCTTGTTTGTTTCTATTTCCACACCTGTTTATGTCAGGCTACACTTTTAGTGCTCTATGCAGTCGATGAGCGCCTCCAGGTGGTCATGTATCTGAATTATTGAGTTATTTGAAGCTTGCTCAGTGCAGACAAAGCATCTGGTAAGTGTGATTATGTAATGAAGTGACTGCAATCACATTTGTTTGGCTCTAAATTCTGCAGCAGTCGCTTATAGTGTGGAAGTATTGATGACGACTTGATGTTGTGGTGGCATAGCTGTAGACCTAATGATGTGATAATATGCCAAATATGCACAAAGGTGGTTCTTGGACATTATTTAGTGTCATATGGCACAGAAATCCAAGCAGATCTCTAGATGTCTTAACCAACTTTAACTCTGGTTTTAAGTCCAGGCATCATGCAAAGGACAAACTCAGAGATTGAATCACTTGTAGAGCATCTCTGATTACCTGTCTAGGTTTAACCTCAGCATTTATTTGTTCCCTCATGAATCAGGGAGACATTGAGGCATTGGCCTTGTAAGAGGTTTTAAGACAGGAGATGGCTTTTAAACTAGGAAAGGACAAGTCTTAGTCGTAAAGGGGTAAAATGTGTTATTAATGTCTCATAATCGCATCCAAAGAGCTGCCTTACTTGTAAACAGATCACATAAAACTCCTGCCAGTGCCAAGTGTGAGCTGTGCTAATGGGAGCTACTGAAAGGTCAAAGTGAAAGTGTGTGGACTGGTGTATGTGAAGATTTTCCACTTGAGAGTTTTTAGAGAATGTGAGGACAGTAAGACCTGGATTTACTTTACACTAAATGCCTCAAACTGTTGAACTCTGATCAGCTTCCTGTAAACAATGAAAGTGTTTGTTGTTAGTGCAGCTTAAGTGCTCTTTTTATAGGATAAATGTAAGAAGAGATCTTTAAAAAGAGACTCATCACATTATGATATAGATACAGAAACATCACATTTTTATGTTGCTGGTATTTTTCTACCGGTTTGATATTATGAGTGACAGCAAAGTGGAAATGTCTTGAATAAAATGCTTTCACGATGTGGTTGTTGTTATGAAGGTCATTTTACACAAGGCTGACACAATGACATAATTATGAACTGACATAAAACTGCAGCTAAAATTTTATTACACATTTTGTCCTGAAATTCATGTTTAATCCTTGGCTCACGTCCGTCAGTATCAATTAACATCTAAGCACCTGTCAATAAAAGTGCCACTTATAATCCAGAAAATACGGTCCAACTTTTACATGATACATGGTGATGGCAGTATCATGCCGGGGGGACGCTTTAGGTCAGTGGAGTTGGTCAGACTCAATGAGAAGCTGACAGAGCCTGAGATATCTTTCCAAGAACACCTGACTGAATCGTCAGCCTGTATATCTTTAAAGCTGCTACAGACGTACCCCAAAAAGAGAATCTACAAAGTATTGACATCGGGGGGTGAAAAGTAATGGATAGCACCCTTTTCAAATTTTGACTTTTAAGAAATATTAAAACTAGTGCATTTGCACATGAAGTTTCTATGTTACTTGAAATTCATCCACGTACTTTGTAATTTCCTGGCTTAGGGATTGAAGCTAAAATTTACCTCCATCATCCATCCTCCCATGAACTCTGAAAATCTTTCCTGTTGCTACTAAAATAAAAAAAAATAAAAATAAAAAACATCAAACGTATGTACGGCACAAAGGTCATAGATACTTTGCCAATTGCCCTCTGGTTCCCGATGTTCCCTCCACTGCACAGGCCTGTGGAGCGTGGTTGAGACCGTGTGCTGGTAGAGGGACTGAACGGAGGATGATGGAGGAGTAGCTGTTTGCGTGGG